AGAGAGAGAGAGAGAGAGAGAGAGAGAGAGAGAGAGAGAGAGAGAGAGAGAGAGAGAGAGAGAGAGAGAGAGGAGTGTTTCCACCGATCAGGAGACGCACCTCAGATTGCGCCATATCTCGCTCTCTATCAACAGCTTCGAGAACCCTTTTCAAGTGTGCAATTTCTTCAGCGTTTTGCTCAAGGGCCTCTCTCGCCTTATCTCTTTGCATTTGCAGCTCTTGAACATGATTGGCGGTTTGTCTCTGCTCGGCAACACTGCAGCGGAGTTTGCTAGCCTGGTGGTGCATACACATCATTGTCCCACAGTAGCAGGCCATCCCACCACCGATCACCCAAAATCTTGTCAGGCTCTGGCCTCTCAGAAGGAAAACAACAAAATAAACAAGCATTCTCCTTTTTTGTTCTGTAAGCAGTTTTCGGACTTGGAAAGCCAACACATGGATTCATTGACAGCCTATTGAGAGTGTCAGGCTGTTGCAGTCCCTGGTTCTGCTTTCCTCGACTGGGCAGAAACTTCACACAACCGCTCACACAAAAGGACTAGCAGCACCAGCATCCATAGTACAAGAAATATGACGACAAGAAGGAGGAGAAGAAGGAGGAGGAGGAGGAGGAGGAGGGCAGACAACAAACGAAGAACGAAGAACGAAGAACGAAGAACGAAGAACGAAGAACGAAGAACGAAGAACGAAGAACGAAGAACGAAGAAACGAAGAACGAAGAACGAAGAACGAAGAACGAAGAACGAAGGACGAAGAACCCCAAAAGAGGAACGTTGAAGAAGAAGAAGAAGAAGAAGAAGAAGAAGAAGAAGAAGAAGAAGAAGAAGAAGAAGAAGAAGAACGAAGATGAAGAAGGATGACGACGACGATAACGGTGACGAAGAAGAAGAAGAAGAAGAAGAAGAAGAAGAAGAAGAAGAAGAAGAAGAAGAAGAAGAAGAAGAAGAAGAAGCAAGAAGAGGAAGAAGCACGACGACGACGACGAAGAAGAAGAAGAAGAAGAAGAAGAAGAAGAAGAAGAAGACGAAGACGAAGACGAAGACGAAGACGAAGACAACGAAGAAGACGAAGAAGACGAAGAAGACGAAGAAGAAGAAGAAGAAGAAGAAGCTCACCAGCTCCTCTCGAGTCATATCAAGTTGATTAACGAGTGATTTCAAATGTTCAGCGTCCTTGGTAGCATTCTGCAACTGTTCTCTGTAAAACAAAGGTTGCACAAGAATCAGACATGGGCTTAAGTTATCTGTAGAAAAGGGCACAGAAAAGGAAGAGGGAAAAAAACAAACAAGTTGACATTGTGCGCAAGAGAGAACCTGAAACCGTAAAAGAATAGAACTTATAGAAGATATTGACAATGCGGGCGAATGCCAATTATTGCTGTTGTTGCTGATGTGAAATTCAATGAATTACTCTGCAGTGTTCGCGACTTTCCAGCCGAAAAAGAAGTGTGTTTGTGTTCATGCAACCTCCTTTTTTTCCTTTTCTCTTTTTCATAAGACCCAATGGACCACAGATCAGATACTAAGCTGAAAGGAACAGATACCATACTTGATCTTACTTAGCCAAATTGTGTGTGCAGCGGACTAACTAAAAAAATAAAATAAAAATAAAAAGTATGTCGGTTTAGGCTCCTTCCTGTCTGCTGATCACGGAGTATATCTTGCATCTTTTTTTCTTTTTTTCTTTTTTTAATCTTGCATCCAAAGCTTTCGTAATATCAGATTGCGAAACTGGGACATTCCGCGCTATGTGGCGGCACTTCGCGCCTTGCGGGTTCAAGTCCCACTACGCGCCTCCATCAACACCCGAGTTGACTCTGGGTAGACTACGATCCAGTAGAATTTGAGAGATGGTTAATGGAAGGCCCAAAATTCGGGGTTTTTCGTCGCATCACCATCACACACACACAAAAAAAAGAACAAAAAAAAAAACAAAAATTCAGGGAAATATGGCAGTTTCGGTGAAAAATTCGCCGAAAATGAGACCACCTATTAACCATTAGTGCAGAATTTCTGGACTGCTCTCATGGTCGATCCTCGAGCGGCGTGAAGCATAAGGCCAAGAAATTTCTGGACTGCCGGTGTGCAGGATAAGGCCTCCGTGGTAAGGCCTCATGGTCAAAAGCAGTACGCAACCTGCTTTTGGCCATGAGTGAATATTTTACTTTCTTTCATAAATGCTTCGTTCACTAAGACTTGTTTGTTGACATCCGCATACTGACAGAAGAGGAGGCGGAAGGGACTGGGGTACGTGAGACTGGGCGTTGGAAAGAGAAGAATGGGAAAGGGCCCCGAATAGCCGCCGAGCAGAGAAACGATCGACTGGGCTCAAGGGTCCTGGAAACAGTGCTTGAGCCGTACCTTTTTTGGATACCTTTTGTGGATAGCCCTGATTTGGTTTTGTAGTTTTATCTTTCTGCTTTTTCTTTTTTCTCTTTTTTCACTTTGTGGCTGCGGTAGTACTCGTGTTTTTCCAAACGCTAATATTCTCTAGGCGCGTGTCTTCCATTGTAGATAAAAGTGATGCGTTTGGGAGTTGTACTCCTCTTGGCCTGAGCAGCAGCACAGAAGGGTCGAGCTCCGGTAAAATTTGGCCGGCGTTGGAGGCGCTTTTTGCGGTGATAATAAAGTCCATGAACACCTTCGGTTAATTTTTGAAATTATTGCTCATCTTCCCATGATAATGGTGGGAATGGAGTGAGATCGGTAATAGCGCCATATATCATCGAAAGAGTGTGTTCAAGTGTGATCCATAGCTGACTGGTTAGTGCAATCGTTGAAAGCTTCTACGCACAGAAGCTTTCAACCGCAGAAGGAAACAAATTGACGCAATGAGGGAAAGAAACAGAAAAGGAAGAAAGGAACTCGAAGAAGTTGTTGCATGTGAAAATATCGGCAAAGACACACGTACACGACTTCTACATTCCGGGCTGTCGATCTTGGTAATCTACGGCCGGAGAGGAAGCATGCAGATAAGTGGGACCTTGCCCTATAATGACTGACCTTAGCTTGCTTGCTTCACCTTCGCCTGCAGCGATTGTAGTCCTATCGTGCTCTTGCTGAGCCTTCAGGTCAGCATTCTCAGATTGCTGCCGTACAAGTCGGGATTTCAGACTCTCCAGCTCATGCCTGTCGCAGCACAACACACACACACA